ATTTGGTGTTCCCTTGTTCTTTTTAAAAACACTGCCTCTTGGTTTATTTACAGGTTCCTCATAAGTAACATTAAGTGTTCCGGAATACTTATTCTCCACAATGTTATTCCTAGCTTGTCATGACCCACAAAATGAAAGCCTTTGTGTAGTCAATAAAGCACAGGTAGACATCTTTCTGGTATTCTATGCTTTCAGTCAAGATTCATCTGATGCCAGCAATACCTGTCATTCCACATCCTCTTCAGAATACAGCTTGAACCTCTGGAAATTCTCTGTCAATGTATGATTGCATACATTGTATTATCTTAAGCAAAATTTTACTGGCATGAAATATTAATGACATTGTCCGATGGTCTATGCATTTGTCACCTCTCTTTGAAATGGGCACAAATATGGATCTCTTCCAGTCAGTCTTCTAAATTTCTTGGCATAGATGAGTGATTGCCTCCAGTGCTGCATCAGTTTGTTGAAAGATTTCAGTCTGTATTCTGTCAATTCCTGGTACCTTGTTCCTTGCCAATGCATTAAATGCACCTTGGACTTCTTCCTTCAGCTCTTGATCATATGCTACCTTTTGAAATGGTTGACCATCAACCATTTGTTTTTGGTACAGTGATTCTATGTATTCCTTCCTTCCTCATTTTGATGCTTTCTGCATCATTCAAGATTTTGCCCACAGAATCCTTCAATATAGCAAGACAAGGCTTGAATTTTTTCTTCAGTTTCTCACCTTGAGAAACGCTGAGTGTATTCTTCCCTTTTGTTTTTCTAATTCCAGGTCTTTGCACATTTCCTTATAATATTTGACTTTTGTCTTCTTGAGATGCTGCCACACTCAGCTTTATTCAGTCCATGGGCCTAGAGCCCTCAGCTGCTTTGTGTCTCCATGTCCCTGCTTTGCTCCTGGTCCTTTGCTAGGCAGGGATCTCACATTCCACTCATGTTCTTCTTTCTTGATGGTCTTGGAATCCTCTCTTCTTGCTTCTGAAACAGCTCCTTTTAAAACCTAGCTGAATGGCAAAACTAACTAATCGCAGCCTTAGAGCCCTGTATACCTTATTTGCATTGTCCTGCCCAATCACTTGGTGAGAATTAATAAGACATTGGATAGAAAAGCCATATCAAGTAAATTCAAGGTATCACAATTATCCAAATTTCACATGTATATGAGGTGATTGAAAGTACCATGGCTTGGGTCAGATGCGCCTTAGTCCTCAAACTGGTATCTTTGCTCTTGAACACTTAAAGAGGTTTTGTGAAGCAGATTTGCCTAGTGCAATATGGCATTTGGTTTCTTGACTGCTGTTTCCATGAGTGTTGATTGTGAATCCAAGCAAAATGAAATCTTTGAAAACTTCAATGTTTTCTCCATTTATTATAATGTTATTAATTTGTCCAGTTGTGAGGATTTTTGTTTTCTTTACATTGTGGTGCAATTCATACTGAAGGTTGTGGTCCTTAGTCTTCATCAGTGAGTATTATAAGTGTTCTTTGTTTTCAGCAAGCAAGATTGTATCACCTACATATTGTAAGTTATTCATGAGTCTTCCTCTCAGATATTTGCTCAGCGTACATGTTGCATAAGTATGGCAAAATAATACAGCCCTGGTGCACACTTTTCCTGATTTTAAAGCATTGTGTGTCCTTATTCTGTTCTAACAACTGCCTCTTGGTCTATGTTCAGGTTCCTAGTGAGCACAATCAAGTGTTCTGGAATACCCATTCTTGGCAGTGTTTACTGTAGCTTGTCATGATCTGCAGAGTCAGAAGCCTTTTTTGCACAGTCAATACAGCATAAATAAACATCTTTCTGGTATTCTGTGCCTTCAGCTAAGATCTTTCTGACATGAGTAATGATGTCCCTACACCATCTTCTGACTCCAGCTTGAGTTTTTGGCAGTTCCCTGTCAATGTACTGTTTAAACAGCTTTTGAATTATCTTTAGCAAAATTTTACTTGCATGTGATATTAATGATATTGCCACCAGGAAAGCCAATTATTTGGAGACAGGGGTCTGGTAAAACATAAAGCAAGGTTTAACGCAATTTGAATATACAGGCGGCAGAGGGCCTGCATGCCCGCCTAACACGACCTTATTAAGAAGAAAGGGGAAAAAGGATTTATAGGATTTGGGGACAGCTGGTAGTGGTCTGAGGACTTTCAGAAACTTAATTCTTTGGTCTTTTTATCTCAGATTGTTTTGATCCCTCTTTTGATAAATTTCAGGAACTTCTTTATTCCTATGATAGTCCTCAAGGTGGAAATTAACTACTTATTTACCTAAAGGAAGTAAAGGAAGGTTAGCACTCATGACCTCCCTCCTGACAAGATGGACTCCACATGAGAAAGATTCCTGGTGCTCCCCCTATACCCCCATGTCAAAAGCACATAGTGTGATTCTGTCATTTTCAGTAAGCAGTTTAAAAGTTTTATTTTCTGAACATTCTTTAGTACTTATTATTTGTTGTTGTCATTAAGTGCCATTGAGTCCGTTCTGACTCATAGCAACCCTGTGTAGGGTTTCTGAGGAGTGACTGGTGAGCTTGAACTGCCAACCTTATGGTTCAAACTGACCTTGCTCAACTCTTAACTACAACAGGCAGGCAGAGATTCACTAGACCCAAAAGCTTGCTTATAAAACAACCCTAGATGATACACTTACTCAGAGTTGTAGAACACCAGGGAGCAGCATGAGTGAGGACCCCTTAACACTTTTATTGGCGGCCTGGCAGTATGAATTCAAGCATAGTCTAGTGTGAGGTGGGTCCATAAGAAATGAGAAGAATTAGCCAAATGGAGACTACAATGGACCAAGGGCCCCTCCCTTTCTCAGGGAGACATCCGCACTCAACCCTAGCCAGTTGCCTACAAGTACCTTCACCCAGTTATCAGAAATACTCGTTTTGCTAACAATGCCAGAAATTTGGAGTTTTAGGTGAAATTGCTAGTGACCATCCCATCTCACCTGCACACCGAGGTGTCCCTAGCCAGGAACAAAGCACCCCTGTGTCTGGCTGTCCTGCCCCCAGCTTGCTCATTCCTTAATTACGCAAGCCATTGATGTTGTAGATTCTGACTTATGACGACTCACTGTGTACAGAGTAGAACTGCATTCCATAAAGTTTTCCATACTATGATCTTTTGGCCAAACTTTGCTTCCAAGACACCGCTAGGTGGGTTTGAACCACCAGGCTTTCTGTTTAACCATTTGGACTCAGAAGCCTTTGAGAAGGGTGGAAAAGGAGGGAGGTGGGTGTGAGACAGGCAGGCCCAGAACACAAGTGAGCCCAGGTGGGCATCCTTAGCACCTTCTACAGTTACTGCCAGGTGCTGAGCATCAGAGTGGTCCTCTGTAGACAGCCAGCTGGGAAGGGAGGGTGGTGGTTCGTCCTCCACCAGCTAAGCAAGTCACAGGAGAAATTACTTAAGGTGGGACGTGAAGTGCAACTCATTCCCATTCTGGAAGGATTGGGAGCAGCTATCTCAACCCTTGTTAACAGGATGGAGCGGAGTTACCTCACAAGGGTTCTAAGTAAACAACTGGACCGCCCCTGTGAGGGGCCCTGAGCCTTCAGGAGGACACGCTAGGAATACACAGTATGTATTTTGAAAGGACTGTTTGTTTAAGTAGCAACAATTTCTTAAGGAGTAGAAATGCCTCACCTGGCCTTGAGTTCTGGACTATTAATTTTTGGCAAAAGCCTTTTCTGAGTCACTGACATTGGGAAAAAGGTCTAAATGTGCCTTCAATAGTAGATAGCTTTGGGCAAGCAGTTCTAAGGCAGTACAGTCCAAAAAAGTAAAGGGACATTTAGTAAAATGTGCTCAGAGTTCCGGAAAGACACTGTGGGGTGAGAGGAAGTGAGACTGTGCCTGGTACAGACCTCCAGTTCTTCCAAAGAGGATTCTTTCAGGTGGGCCTGAATGTGCTGAAGCCACACTCCTCATCCATCGCCAAATCCCTTTCAATTCACACAAAAAATCCATTTATTTAAGAATATGCTTTTCTGAAGCACTTCTAACCTGGCCTTCTGGTCTCTCTGGGTCAGTATTTGAGGGCAGGTCCAAAGCACCTATTCTTTTATCAAAGACAGAGGCAGTGAAGGAACGTCTTCCAATCTACTACCCCATCTTGCAGGGCCCAAGGAAGTGGTGAGGAGGAATGAAACAATGAATTCCTCTGGAACAGCAAACTCCTTTCGCAAGTCTTGGTTATCAGTGAACAATGGATAATGGAATCCTTCCTAGTTAGAAAGGAGAGAGTTCTTGCTATAGCTGCCAGCATTCTGAGTCTCCATGTTCCGGGTGCCAGGGCACTCACAGTGCTGCACACACAGGTAGCTCAAGCTTACTAGGCTCCTTGCACTGTAATGACATGAATCACAGCAGCCACCAAGGAGGTCATAGGCATGTCACCCTGGGGAGAGAATGGTGTGTCCCTGCAGTAACGTGGTATCACTAGCTTACTGGAAGGAATGTTTCTGAAGGAAAAGAGTAGTTGGAGGGAGAAGATGATGTTCCATGGAAGGAAGGAAGTGGACCGTGGCATTGGGCAGGGGTATATAAGGATGCAGGACAGGAGTGAAAGGACAGGCACTCACTCATTAAACATCAATAACTTCTATCCAGGTCCTTACAGAAGGAGATCTGGAGTGTGTGTTACCCATCACACATCTGCTTTTACCAACCGCTTTTCCTTGCCTTATTTATATACTGTCTCTAGCCATCCAGATCTGGCTCTGGTAATTCAAAACAAAATGGAGATAAAACTGCATACAATTCACAATATAAAGTTTTAAAACAAAATAAAAGGGAGAGAGAAACCAAAAGAACTCGGGAGAATAAAGCCATCTTCTAGGAGCTCTTTTATGGGCTGGACCTCCCAGAATTGGGGTAGAAGGGGAGAACTCCTTAGGGTGGCCCTTGTGTTCTCTCTCAAACAGCCAAGGGCCTGATGCCCAGTCAGTGCATTCTAACTTTCTCTTATTTTGATTACTCAGGTCTCCTCAGCCCTCTGCTACTTGTCTGATTTCATCCAAGAAAGATATGAATTTGCCATTTTTGTTTCAAGTTCCAGATGCCTTATCTAAGGTACACAAAATTTTAAAATATTGAAATAAAACCAACAGTGCTTCTCGAATGACATGGAACGTGAATACAAAGGTGTTCCCTCTATTCTTAGCATAGCATTGTGCCTGGAACATCATCCAACTTCAATAAATATTTGTTGCATGAAAGAAATGAGCACCCTAACCACCCTGTTGCAACGGCTTTAGGACCTCAGGCATCTGGATATAAGGAAATAAGAATAAAGGTTGTCCTATGAGGATTTTTAGTTTGAAATATGTAGAGAAATGCTCAGATTTGTCATTCATAAGCAAATTTATTTTATAGCAAAGTAGTCATGGTAAGGCATGCAAATTAGAGACATGTATTTATTTAGAGCTGGAGAATTGAATTACAATGTTAGCTTACTGATTAGAATCAATATTTAGACTTCAGGCACTTATCTTTAATTGGTGGTCTTTGGAGGAAGGCTTGGCTACATTTCAAACTCAGAGGGTGTCTCCTGTAGCTAGGGTTAGCTGTGGCGAGCTGTATCTTAGCACACTCTGGGCCTTTAGAGAGAGTCAGAAAGACCTTTTTCCAAGTATATGGTGAATGTGCCAAAGTCCAGGGGTTATATATGATTTTTAACCATGACTTTGTATAATAGGAGCCGGGGCTGTCATGCTTAATTAAGACTAGTGTGTTAAATCTTCTGTGTTTTGTATTTTACGGTGAACCAGATGGTGTAATGTTGAATCTTTCTTCAGGATTAGAGATTAAGTGGTTCATTTATGACATATTGAAATCTCAAAGCCAGTTTACAGCAGTTTAGGTACACGTTTATCACAGTATGTACAGCTGTCTTAGAGAGAATGTTTACTAGCAACCTTACATAGTTCTGTTTCTATTTCTAACTTCAGAAATTTTCTGTTACTAACAGCACATTATAAGTGATGTTATACATGGTTTGAGAGTAACACAGGATAAGGTTGTTGTTAAGTGGCATCAAGTCAATTCACACTTATCGTGACCCTATACAATAGCCTATCCAAACCCTACACCGGGTTTCTGAGGCTATAAATGTTGTGGGAACACACAGCCTCCTCTTTCTCCTGCGGAGCAGCTGGTGGACTCAAGCTACTTACCTTGTGCTTATCCTATAGAGTTACCATGCTCCACAGGTATAAAGTCAAAGTCATAAAAAGGAAAACCAATAAAACAAACCTTGTGTAGTCTTCTCCTTAAAGAGTGTGAAAACTTCAGTGACCTCAACCAATTCTAATTTCTGGAGTCCCTGACACTCACCTCCAAAATGAATCATTCATATCTCCTCCATCTATGGAATTTTAAATTAACAACTTATCTCCCCACCACCTCACAGAAAGTATAAAAGGGTCTTGGTGGTGAGCTACGTTGGCTGCTTGGTGACCCACAGTGATGCCTTGAGCTGTACAGAGTCTTCCCTGAGAGAAGGCTATGCCGTCTCTTCACCGGGGATGTTGTACATCCCTCCTATAGGGTTGTGGTAGGCAGAAAGTGCAGCTCTGTTTCTAGAGCACTTGGTGCACTTAGTGCCTCATCCCTAGGGAGTACTCAGTACAGGTGAGCCGCAAGTATTAGGAGCTTTGATGTTATTGTTCTTGTTAAGTGCCATCGAATTGGTTCTGACTCATAGCCACCCTGTATAGGGTCTCCAAGAGGGGCTGGTGGGTTTGAACCATCAACCCTGAGGTTAACAGTCCAGTGCTTACCCTATAGCCCCACACCAGGACTCCAAGATTATTGTTGTTATGCGCCGTGAGTCAGATCTGACTCCTAGTGACTGTATATGGGGTTTCTGAGGAGCAGTTGGTTGGTTTGAACTGCCGGCTTTGCAGTTAACAGTCCAGTGGCTTTCCTGCAGCGCCACACCAGGACTCCAGGATATCAGGTAATAAATGCTGACTGAGCCCTCTGTGTTTGCTTTAACATGGTTTCAGAGATCAGTCAGTCACAGTGGCAGCCTACACAAATGAGTGGGTGGATGGGGAGGTCCACAACAGTAAGATGAATGTCCTACAGAGGGAGAATGCACTTTGAAGGAAAAGGGAGAGAAAGGTCACCTCCAGGCCAGGAGAGAAATGAGCAGAGGGACAGGAAGGAATCATTCAAGAAGGAAGTGATCTGTGCCCTGGATCCTGCAGACACACTTCTCACACGTGGAAGGCAAAGCCAGGAGAGGAGGAATAGCTGACAGGGCTCTCCAGTGAAGGGAAGAGCAGGAGTAAAGACATGGAGACTGCAAGTGCAGAAAATACTTGTCAGGGACTCTGCAGACAGCAAAGTACGGGTATGGGGAAGGGAACCAGAAGATGGGTGGGCCCAGCCAGAGCAGAGAAAGCCAGGAGGAGTCAAGAGCAGTGAGAAGACATCCCAGCTGAGCAGTGTCAAGATGGGAGCTGTACCCTAACTCCTTGGCAAAACCTTGGCAAGAGGGTACCAGTGGTGTCAGGTCATCAACTATAGGGCTGAGTAGAGGTAGGATGGAAAATCAGCAATAACTTTCAGTCCCTGCATCTTTCTGAATTTTCTGGGTTCTCACTGTCAGTGAGTGCTCTTTCATCCCAGGTTTCCTCTAGGGTCGCAATCACTATCGCATCCTATATACTAAGACTCTAGACACTGAACTGGCGGGGCCAGTGGACGGGCAAGGAGAAGGAAAAATAACGATGGGAAGTGAAAGAGGCCTTGCTCCAGCAGGAGTTAGCATTTCTTGTCTGCAATGCTCACCGTTGGCCACTAGATAGCAGCCGAGAGCAATTGTTCATTCAATGGCTGTGCTGGAGGTCAGTCTCAGGATAATCCCTTGACCCAAATAAGACCAAAACCCACTGCCTTCAAGCCGATTCCCATTCATGGTGATGGTGCCTGTGTGCTGTGGAGTCGGTTCCGACTCATAGTGACCCTGTACAGGATTTCCAAGGCTGTAAATCTTTACGGGAATAGAATGCCTCATCTTTCTCCTGTGGAACAGCTGGTAGTTTCTAACTGCTGACCTTACGGTTCGCAGCCCAATTCGTAACCACTACGCTACCAGAGCTCCTTATTCCCATTCATAGAGACCCTATATAGAAGTCACAAATACATGGCTCCTACTGGAGAGGTGAACAGGGCGTCTCACCCTAGCCCTATCAAAAGAGAGTCGCCCTTGCAAATGGGAAAGGCAAATAGGAAACCCAGGCTTCTTTCTCTGTTGGTGACACCTGCCGGTTGCATGTTGTTGTTGTTAAGTGCCATCAAATCAGTTCCGACTCACAGTGACTCTGTATAAGGTTTCCGAGGACCTGCTGGTGGGTTTGAACCACTGACTTTGTGGTTAGCAGTCCAGTGCTTATCCTACAGTGCCACACCAGGACCACAACTGCCCAACTCATAGCAACCCTTTATGTTGTTGTTATTGTTGTGAAGTGCCATTGAGTCATTTCCGACCCATAGTGACCCTGTACAGGATTTCCAAGGAGCAGCTGGTAAGCTTGAACCGCCAACCTTGCAATTCAAACAACTTTGCAATCTGGTGCATTAACCCACAGCACCACACCAGAACTCCAGCAACCCTTTATAGACTTCCTCAAATGTGATTCTAGTCTCCAGTGACTGCTCCGAGCATGAGGCATGCATGACTACATGTGAGGCAAAAGCAGGTTCAGCTGTTGAGCTGCTCCTTCCTGGAAAGACACTGTTGTGTGTCAGGGGAGAGGAATGCACTGCGGAAACTATCTCTCCCTGCAGCCTCCACATCAGACCTGCCAAGAGGCTGCTGGCAACCAGAGGCCCTGGCACAAAGGTGCAGAGGCACAAAGGTCCTGCCACCTGGCACCGTTTCTCTTCAACATCACAGGTCAAAGAGCAGAACTTTGAACAGCCACCTTTCAAGCTGCATTCCTTCCCTGCCCAGGAACAGCTCCAAGGTAGATGCAGGCTGCATGTGTCTAGGGTGCTATACAACCATAAAACAGAGGCTCAGACATAGGGAGAGGGAGACAGAGATAATAAGAGAACAGAAGCCAAGGAAGAGACAGAAGGGAGGGGCGAAGGCAAAAACAACAACAACACACACAGAGAAAAGGAGAGGCAAAGCGTAATAAAGAAGACATATATAAAAAATAAAAGACTAAGAATTAAGCCTAAACCTTTCCCCATTTAAAAACATCTCCAGCGTAGAGGCTTCTTTGTTAGGCATACCTTTCACCTGTTGTTTTTTACAGTCATCAGCTTTGGACTCATGAAGATGCATGAAATAGGAAAGTGGATCATACCGTTGAATAGCTGAGGCCAAGAGGTGGCTTACTCAGCAATCCACAGCCAGGAACAAGCAGATGTGTGTGGGTGATGTGGAACACGGCAGCTGGATACCAAAAACACTTTTGTCCACTGCCGGGGGTGGTGTGTAAGTTAGCCCGAGCTCCACAACCACCAATAAATTATAAAATCTCCTCATTTCTCTCTCTACTCTCTCTGATACGGGTTTGCTGTTCTGGTCTAATGAGTCAGAGTAAATTAAGGAGACCATATTTATTTTATCTGAGAGCCCTGGCTAAGAAAGGCACAGCTGGGGGAAAAATGTATAGGGTGGTGGCTTCCACTTTTCTCCTGAGTTTTCTCTCTTTGGATTTTCTCAAGAACTCTTTTTATTGGTTTTTTTGTCATCGACTATACATTTTGAAAATTCATGACCACAGCCCACCCCTAAATGCTTGCCCTGTTTATGGTGACACATACACTTATGAAAGAGAAGTAATAATGAGTCCTGGTGTGGTGTTGTAGGATTGACTGCAAGGTCAGTGGTTCAAACCCATCAGCTGCTCCTTAGAAACCCTAAGTAGGGTTGCTATGAGTGGGAACCAACTCTATGGGATTTAACAACAGCACACTTCATCCTACCAAAATCATGATCCGATGTATAGGAAATTCCCAAAGGTGTGGCATGCAGCACATTTTCTCTTACAAAAGATAAAAGGAGAGAGATGTGAGCAAAGAAAGAAGGACCTTTTACTACCAAGAAA